CGGTTAAAAACGCTGTTTTTCTTTTACGTTTCTTTTAACCGCTGCCATTTTGTTATTTTTTAACAGAAATTGTTCGACGAGGTACGGGCGATAGCGACATTCATGCCGATTAAAAATCTTGTTCATTTTCTTCTTTCAGATAACCCTGAAGACTGTAATCACCTACGCCAGCAACTTAGGTTTTTTTTTCAGTGTTATATTTACGCTAATAGAACACTAACAATAATAATTGTTTATGTATAACAAAATATTTTTCATAAAGCCAAAAGATAGTACAATAAATACTACATGTATTTATTTCAATATATAAAGTATTTAAATCAGAAAAAATTCATAGAATTTACCTCACTTTTCGGCCCGATAAACCAGAATGACCCCTTAACGGCTTTGAAACAACCTTGGATTGCTCGAAACCATTCAACGGCCACGATGCATTGTGTCCCGTCCGAGCTCTATTAGCCCTGAACTAAAGATACACATTGCACGAAATTGAACAATTCGACACTGAAGAGCGTGCTTGTCGATACGATAACAAATAAACGACGACGAATTATCATTACACTATTTCCTCTCATTATACTTCCTCTATCCAAACGCAATCGTCACTGTTGTAATATTTAATATATTTTATGTAAAATGTTGAACAATGTAACGCTTACACAACGTACGCAACGTAAGCACTTTTGTTCCTTTCGATAGTCCCCCATCTCTTCTATTCTATTCTTTCTCTCTTCCTATTGTCATTAACCTAACTTTCTAAAACCGCTATTTAGTGTAAGTACATCCTTCTCTATCTGTTAGTTCACTTTCTTCACCTTTACGATATACAGGGTGTTCAGCCACCCCTGGGAAAAATTTTAACGGGAGATTCTAGAGGCCAATATAAGACGAAAATCAAGAATACCAATTTGTTGATGGAGGCTTCGTTAAAAAGTTATTAACGTTTAAAGTTCCGCCCCTACTGAATTTTTTTTCTAGTGAGTGGGCAGGATTTCGGGGCAGGTGTATTCACCAAAAATTATTGTAATTGAACCCCGCAACCGAAAATAATTTTTCCAGAACGATTTGAAATTTTTTTTTCTCGCCGAAAAATTTAAACATCTGTTTAGGCATTTTTCTTAAAAATTTGTTTTTCATTTTCAATAAATTTATTTGACGCTCTATAGAAAAGTTGTCTAATGCTTTTTTGTAGATACCCATGGGCTCTGCTTCTGAAAAAAATTTCAATGAGATACCTTTACTATTGTAGGAGTTATGGCCGTTTGAAAATTGGACCAGTATTAGGAGGTTTTTCTCACTTTACGGTGTCAAGGAACAACTTTTTCAATATTGTTAGAATTTCTACATATTCTCAACTAAAATACGCGATGTTTGTATTTTGAAAAATTACAATCCCCCAATCCGTTCAGGAGTTATGACATTTTAAAGATGCGCATGAAAGGACAATGTTAAGTCATAGAGGGGTTTACTGACCCAAGAGCGTACAGCATATGCTATACACCGTTGGAAAGGTCTTGCCAAGGCGAATCGACTGATACCATTTTTAACTTCGATATCAGATGGGATAATGTCGAAAAATGGCCTCAAAGTTCGAGATTTTGCGGTTTTGAACAAAAGAAACCGGTAGTAAAAGCCCATCCGGCCCGAGGGACCTCGGGTAGGCACCTGAGGAAAAACCGAGGGGTGTAAGCGATACTCTAGCAGATTGGGACGGCAAATGTGCCCCACCACCTTCATTTCAGTGCCGTGTTGGGCCTGCGTTTGCCGCATGGGCCCCGTTCCAAATGCCCAGGGCGAAATCGCTAATGGATCAGTTGTTTTTCATGAACATAATATATTCATGGTAGACAATTCGCAGGTATAAGTTGGGAATGTGCAGGTTAGTATTCAGACTAATGCGTCACTTACAATAGTGAATGGAGTGACATTTTATTGATTGAACGAAACATAATGATGTGAATACTGAATACTAACCTGTACATTCCCAACTCATACCTGCGAATCGTCTATCATGAATATATTATGTTCATGAAAAACAACTGATCCATTGGCGATTTCGCCTTGGGCATTTGGAACGGGGCCCATGCGACAAACGCAGGCCCAACACGGCACTGAAATGAAGGTGGTGGGGCACAGTTGCCGTCCCAATCTGCTAGAGTATCGCTTACACCCCTCGGTTTTTCCTCAGGTGCCTACCCGAGGTCCCTCGGGCCGGATGGGCTTTTACTACCGGTTTCTTTTGTTCAAAACCGCAAAATCTCGAACTTTGAGGCCATTTTTCGACATTATCCCATCTGATATCGAAGTTAAAAATGGTATCAGTCGATTCGCCTTGGCAAGACCTTTCCAACGGTGTATAGCATATGCTGTACGCTCTTGGGTCAGTAAACCCCTCTATGACTTAACATTGTCCTTTCAGGGAAGCATGTCACACATTAGATTTTCGATAAAGAATTTTTTTTTCTCGAAAGTGCGTAGGATTTCGGGGTACGTCTATTCACCAAAAATGCTTGTAATTGACCCCTGCAACTAAATATAATTTTTTCAATATGATTTGAAATTTTTTAATTTCGTCTAAAAATTTCAGTACCTACTCGAATTTTTTTTTCGAAAGTGAATAGGATTTCAAGGGCTTGTGTATTCACCAAAAATACTTGTAATTGACCCCTGCAACTAAAAATAATTTTGTCATAATGATTTGAAATTTTTTAATTAATTATTTAATAACTTTTTATAGAAGCCTCAATTAACAAAGTGATATTCTTGATTTTCGTCTTATTTTGGCCTGTAGAATCTCCCGTTAAAATTTTTTTCAAGAGTGGCCGAACACCCTGTATACTTTCCTTACGTCTCGTCTGTTATTCGCAGAATAATATTTATATTTTTCTAAAGTAGGTCTTCTCGTCAAATAATATTGTTAAATTTTTCCTTTCGACTTGGTTCGTAATTCCTCCGAACAGCAACAAACTACACACGTGCAGATTTATTAACGTACATCGAATACAGTATATGAACAATAGTAGTGTATAAATAATCGAAGGGCATAAAGTACAATTCTTCGTCGGTGTATTAGATATTTCGTTAACATTTGTTAGGGCGATTATCGGTTCGTAATATTTAAAAATAAACCGAACAGTTGGCACTCGGCCTTTCTAAACAGTTGCGGGACAATGGACGTTGAAAGCGTCGCTTGCTTTCTAATCATTTATTTACACGTATATTTTTGGCGAATCGAAGCGCCCTCGTTACACCATGGACGTTACAAAAACGTTATTCTCGGCGTCAAATCGCTTTTCGTTTACATAATCCACCGTCTTCCGTAAACGTTCGCCCAGGCTCGGATTAAGGAAGAAGCATAGCCCCGGGACTCAATTTTTCAAACAATAAATTGAATCATTTTTCACATCTCGATGGCACGTGATTGATAAATTCTAGTCGAAGATAATGCAATGCAAACGCAATTCGGTCTGTTCGATGATGCAAAATCATTGAGAAAGACAATTTAAGATGTTCTTATTACTGACATAGTCTACAATCAGAAATTTCAATCGCTACAATCTAGTGTTGAAATGGACTTCCGAGTCTTAGCTTGTCATAGTTCGTATCGTGATTCTAGCCACAACTGCCAGAGTCGATTAGTTTCAAACATTAAAATGTTCACTGCTATACCAGTTTCCCCTGTCTAGACATATCCTTGATATTTTTTCAAATTATTGTGTAAAAGTAGAGGATTCAACCGTTAAAATAACCCTGCGAAGGTTGTTGCACAAGTGTCCTAATACTTATGGCCGGTAGTGTACATCTCTAGTAATAACCTGCATTAATTTAGAAAATTGAACGTTTTCAAAAACCATGAAATTTCGATTTTCATATAAATTTATCGCTTCCTTGTATCTGAAAGAACGTACGAAGTACACAATTCTTTGCAATAGCGTTGGCCTTGGGGTTCGCAGACAAGGAGCGACGCAATCTCACGATCTCGAGGCTCTTTGCTCGAGCTTTCGTTCACGGTCCATTATCGTCCAACTTCGATGCCTTGCGAAATATATTTCAAAATCTATTAACACTATTTCTACCGCGGTTTTATGCATACCTATTCTTTTTGTAGTAGGTCTTTTCACACCTTTGCATTTGGATACGAATAACAGTAGAAACAGTATTAAAGACGGTTTAGAAAATTCAACGTTTCGCAATCTTATTTACTTATCTGCTGTTATCGCATTTTAGAATTCTTATCCCCATTTCACAATTTTTATTTGACCATTCGAACCACGAGTGAACGTCACCTATTAATTCGCGACTAATAAATTATTGTTCCAACCGTCGATAAATCGGAGTCGACAGCTTAACGCAATCCGGAAGGGGATTTCTAATCGAGTACCAGGATACAAGGCACAAGATAAGAGCGATTGCGATAGATAGCACTGGACCGAAGAAACGGCGTCGCAATAGGAATACGACGCTAGCAGCTGTCAAAGCGCGCCTTCCTACTTATCGTTAGAAGCGTAGATTCTCGTGCGCGCACAGCTGATATCTGTTACGTAATGCTCGAACGCACAACGCACAGTAAACTGCTGTCAATTTAATCCGTCGTACCATCGAGGAACTAGGAGCATTTTTACGGGGAAAAAGCCGCGACACGAGCCGCCGTGACGCATTAACGTCCGTCATGTGAATCGCAGCTCTGACAGGTCACGAGAATTGCGTCTCTCTACGCGCACGCAGTTTCCGACGCTTCCCGACTAGCGAATTCGGTACGATGGTAACGTACGATACTGGGTTTCGTCAGAGAAAGATAAGAACGAATGTTCTGCGTCTCGGGCCAGGCGGATCGATCGAGCACACGTTCGAAAAGACCGAACGGGAACAGAATTAAGACGCGAGAACGAGAATATCGCGAGGGAATCGGGTCAAGGATCACAAATGCGTACGAGGCCTGGACGACGGAAATACGAGCCACGGTTCTACGGGAGAAGATATGTTTCTGGAGGGGTACTCACTGTTTTCCCGTCTTAATTCGCGGCTCTGTCCTCCCGATATCTCTCCCGTGTATCCCGTGATCAGCGATCGTGGAGGCTACGAAGATTATTCCTGGTCAGATGCACTCGCGATTTATTGCCGCGATCATGAAACCGAGATCGGTTTGTTGGCGGTCGAAGGGGGGTTAGGGAAGGAGTGGTGTCGCGTACGGACACACGAACGTGCCGCTCGCCGTCCACCGTTGAACTGATTTCTGGCTCCTTTGTTTAGTAAACAGAAACAGCTGAGCCGCGCTACTGGTTACAGCGGCGGTGGTGGCGGGAGCTTGTGGTCCTCTCTTCCCGCACAACACCAGCGCACGGCGCAAGCACGTTCGTTGACAAGACGATCACGTGGCCACACCCGTTTGACCAATTGGCGCGTCGCGTCCGCCAGGGACGGCTCACGATGTCTCGGCACTGAACAACTGGAACAAGACACAGTGACGAAACAAGAGAGGAGCAATCCTCCCCCATTAAGGCTATTAGAGAGGTTAAAGAGGAGGAAAAATTAATGTCAAATATCAAATTTTAGTTTCATCGTTCAAGTTCTGCCGTTTTTTATAATCAATGTAATGGTGTATGTTAATTTTTGAGCAACGAAATTCACTTTCAATTGCATGCATATCAATATACTATCTCTAAGTATTATAGGAATCCTACCCATTTAGACGAGTTCCGAAATTGTATCCAAACTATCCAACTTCCATTAAAATAAGTACAAATTTATCCTACTTTTGCGTGAAAAAATATAGATTTTCTAATCGAAACTATGTTGAGCAAGTGTTGTGTGATCAATAAGTGCATTAGACATACGTTTTCCTTTTTAATGAACTTTAAGAATGATAGTGATACTTGTATATAGATGTAATTTTTCTTTCGCATGTTTCATAAATACAAATTTATTCTAAATAGTTTTCTTTATTTCGAATATGTGAAAGTTTCATTATTGATGACCAAAGAGAAAAGTTTTCATCTTCTATTATACTAATACGTACATATCACACAGGAGTCCAAACATGTGAATTTCTTTTTCATATCTATTTTTTTTACCTATTCTACAAAAATTTTGTAAATCTTTAATTCTCTAATTAATTTGTATAATTGTATTATTATTGTACATCTTTATTTACCGAGGAAACCGGAAATAATACACAGGACCCACCCAAACCTTTCGTCTAAATTACTTGAAAACCGTTTGTTACATGAAAAAATGTTTCAAACAAAGAACCCTGCTGGAATTTCAGTGTCACAGGGACAGGAATCGATAAACGCGATGAAAGAATATTTCGTAAATGTATGGGTTGCGGAATCTTTATCTGTAATTCATAGTCAACGCACGTAACAGAAATTATGTAAACATGATCAAGGAATGCAGTTAGAGACAGTGTTAGGCGTTAAATCACGATGCCGATGGATGACACTGTCCGCTACTGCAACCTGTTTTACCGTTACGACTTACCGAAACATCGCGATGATCCCTGGCTGTCTCCATTTTTGCATGACAAAAAGCTAAATATTTCACATGTTCAATACTGTAAATTGACTAATACATATTAGTTGAATCTATATATGTAAAATATCATGTAATATGATGTAAAAAACAAATGTTCCTATTTATAAAACCCAATAATTAAAAAAAAATATTAACCTCTAAAATGAAATTCTCGAACCAAAAAGCGTAAATCGAGAATCGAAACTCGACAATAAGATCTGTTCGTTAACCCAACTTCGACCCTTAAACAATTTTATATTATTTATTGATACATAGAATTTATCAATAATACCATTAGCTAACAGTGTTACACTTGTTCCTGTCTATATTTTCGAGTGTTATCATTTTCTCGTTCTCTCGTTTGCGAAATTATAATATACATATATCGGAGTGCAGTAAACGCCTCCGCCCTTAATTACGTCTTCCCTCTCTCGTTTGTCACTTTGTATACACCTCACTGATTACTATCAACTTACAATCACGGATCATACATACACATATAATTACACATTACGACGTTACATACATCTGTTTATGTATATATATATATTTATATATTTATATATGTATATATTTATATATTTATAAGTTACAGATCGAAGATTAGAGGTACTCTATCTCGACGTTCGAGTCTCGTTGTTCACGGTCATCCTCATCTCGCCATACTTCGTGGCTCGATGCTGTGAGAAATGGTTAAATAATTCGTAACGATCGAACTGAAAAAATTCATTTCTATTATACGCGACTCACATGCTGTATCAGATTAAGATTCGTCTGCATAAACACTAAACATTAATTGAAGAGCAACAACGACACTACTAATTTTTCCTTTACAATAAATCGTTACAGGGACTCCAGACAACAGGGTTATATCTATATTTCTACGCAGTTTAATATTTATATGCAGGTAAACGAATAAACTCGGCGGAACGGGGCGACATTTCTTAGGAGTAGTAACAACGGAGGTCGTAATGATTAAAGTAAAGTCTACCTTATCGACGCAGCTTAACAACAGCAACATTGTTTCCAGACATGAATTTCCGTGATTGGTTTAAACACTAAAACACTTCGAAACGTGAAAGGTCGGTTTCGTTGGCTCGGCATTAACAAGATTCGCTTTGTTCACATTTATGCAACGGACAATTATTGTTTCGAAACGAACTGAAGCAATGCCTCTGATCTGTATCTTCCATAGTTATAGTCTCGGCCTCGATCGTCCTTCGAGGGGTTAGGATTACGCTCCCGATCGTAAGAGACCGTGCAATTGTGCATAGTATAATTTCATTGTATGTATATCCACGCAACGAGCCGAACTACTTTACCACCGAAGCATGTACCGATAGTGTTTTATCATTAATTTCCATTGCTCGCTATATGTATGTGTAATATTGCTCACTATTGCGAAAAAAATTAATCGTCCAACATGTCGACATAGTTCTTACTTTCGTGTGAAGATTTAGTTGCGATAACGATTGCATTAAAAGAACAGAATAATAGAAAAGGAGATAATATATTAAAGAATAATGCGAAATAATAATACAACACTAACGGTACGTGCCTCGGCAGTTGTCAAAACGTAATATAGTAAAAAGTAGAGTAAAATCGAATAGCAGGTTAAAACTGGATACAATTGTTTCCCTAAGATGAAAACTGCGATTAGCAATTTACAAGATCACGCGACAGTACAAGCTTAATTCAAATAGTTTCGAAGAAGAAACATCGTGCAAGAACAGTATTTTGCGTACGGTCATTTTTTTTAATTTTTTCAAGGTAATCGGCTCTTTTTAACCAAGGAAGCGTGTATGTTTTTTTTTTATTGTACCTCATAGCGGATGAAAAAGTTACATTTAAATAGGCCTAAAATGTTCAGCATGAAATCTTTTCGATTTATGTTGGAAGAAAAAATGTATTACATATCCGGTTTTAACCTACCTTCCTCTATTTCAAGGTAATGTTCTCCAAAGTATTGGGCTTGTTTCGATAAAAAAAGATCAAAAACAAACTACGACCTCCTCGCACGGACGAAGGATTTTTCGAAATGCATTATCGGATGCATTAGTTCGTTCACAGTATACACTCGTCCGGTGTTGGAAAAATACCGTGTCGACAAGCATGCTGGTATCACACATAACCTATAATTCAATTACCATCCCTAAGATATATTTATAATATGCATCGTATGTGTTTAAATCGGATTTTTCTCCCTTTAGATACACAAACGTCGTCCCGGATATCGCACGACGATGCGATATTACGCGTAGTTGAGATCACGAGCTGGTAACGTCTTATCCAGAGACGAACTTTTCGCGAGAAAAGTTCCCTCGAGATCCGTTTAATGTATCAAACGTAAACAGACCGTCGCGCCGCTGAACGAAAAGCTTTGCGCTGTTTTATTTTTTCTTACTGCTACATTCCGATATGTTACGTCAAATTTTACATTCTTTCAACAACAATAACAAAAAAAACAAAAACAAAAAACAAATAGAATTCTATGCCTTGTCACACAAAATGGAACGGTATTGTCTGTCCACGATTCGATGCATCGTTCGACGAAACACGCGATTCGCACTGACACGGATCAGAGCGACAATCCATAATTCACGGGTAACGGGGTGAACCAACGCTAAGTATCTACTAGTTACTTGGCATATCCGCCGACATTTTTAAACGTCGTTGAATTGATCATAACTATCCGTTAGTCGTTAACCTAACTTAAACGTACCGATACGTACGACCCGGTGAACTGGCACACGAACGGTCGTACGATCATCTTACATGTTAAGGACTAGAATAGACTCTTCTCATCTCCTTTGCAGGATGACAAACGTTCAACGAAAAATTGATAAATTTAAACGGAAACTTACGTGTCTAGGTCTTCGTTCTCCTTATGGAATTATTGAAACGACATCACTGTCGTTCCCTCTTACCTATTAGATCTAAAGCCTTTGTGTCACTGTTTCCCGCGGCGTAGTTCGATCACCGCTGATAAAATCGAGCGTTTAGACTTTGCTTAAATTATAACCGACAGAAAATAATCCTCGTAAAGTAAACTTACGCCTACGACTTGAATACATCGATTTGCAAAGCGTCGGATTCTGTTTTTGCATCATATGACACGCGTAGAAGTATGAAATATCGTTAAAGACTAGATAGACCGCAATCTTTCACGTTCATTCTAACACCACGCATACTCTCTCTTCATCACGCGAAATTCTCATTACCTTCATTATTGATATTATTAGCATTATCATTATAATTATTATCATTATCATTATTATTACTATTATTATTTTCTTATGTGTCTAATAACCGATGAATAATTTTGATAAACTACCCTCTAAGAACGACTAGGTTAACATTTGATATAGATCATCTGCAAGCTCAAACGATAAGATATGCGCGCACAATATTTCGACCTATATTTAACGGGTCTCTTAATTAACAACTATTGTCCTCTGATCGTCGTGTTGTTGCGATACGATCACGTCCATTTAGAAAGAAATCGAACGACAGAAATATTTTCGAAAATACTGAACGGTGCGATAAAGTCTGATCGAATTACAGCTGAACGAAGGAATCGTAAAGGTTATAGAAAAGTTCTTTTTGCCAGATTCGTTGACGACTTACTTGGGTACGTCGTTTCGTCTTCGACATACGTATAGCCTCGTAAAGCCTTTCGCCGGCGTGCGCGTACTACTACTTAGTAAGCTAATCTGAACGTAAAATCAGTATTGTCCACCCTTACAAATTACTTGTTTCATACGTATCTACGTACATCTCGTTAATTGCTATGCGTCGAGCCAAGGCCCCGCTCGTGGCACACACTGCGTAGAAACGCCCGAAACGAGACCGTTCTGCGCAGTATCGAACACGTTCCACGCACGCGTGTATCATGTCTCACAAGTGAAGACGACGGACTCGACGCGAACGCGAGGCTATGGGGCATTTCACGGATCCCGTCGACGCAAAATGAGCGAAGCAACGCGAACGATATCGTAACCGTTAATATTGATGTGCGTTCGAAGCTATGGGGAAATCACCTTTGCTTTCTGGCGGATTATACGATTATTTTATATCAAGGTATGTTGCGTTTTATTCGCGTGGAGATAATTCGTCTGCCGCCAACGACGATCCGCGAAACGCCTCAACCCGTGTCGACTCACAGGCATCGTTCTCTCTCTCTCTCTTTGTATAGACCTTCGATAGTACAGCAGCTTCTATGTGTTTGTCCTTTTAACGACTAATATTAGCAAGTAACTGTTTACCGCTCGCGCGAGTGCGTATCGTCGGTTTCGTACGCGTCAAACATTCATGTTACCTTACGCAGTTTCGATCACCGATTATTCGGATGAATCCGAGTCGGATTCCGCTGGCGCGTCCGAGGCTTCTGCCGCGACCTCTGGCGTCGATTCGGGGATCTTTTTCGCGATCGTCGCCGCCACGTACGCTCCTGGCCCTTCGCCCTGCGTGTGTTCGATTCCAACTCTGTGCAACAAGTAAAAATGATTTTGACACGAGGTTGACAGTAATTCTATAACAATCATTTTTATAAATTGAGCTTATTTCCGCCTACCTGTACTCGTGTCGCGACAGATTCCTGACGTATTTTTCCGGCGGTGCGTCGCTGTCGCTGTTTTGAAGACTGACGCTCCTCGCGGTCGTGTGAGACACTTGGGTCACCGGCATCGTGAACTCCACGTAACAGTACTCGGAGAGATTTTCGGGGATCTGATCGTACGAAGTCAGAGCCATGCGGCAGACCAGTTGGTGGGTCGTATATGCTCCTAAGATCGTAAAACGACGAATCGTAAAGCGAACGAAACATTATTACGATGGGCAAAACAGGCGAACAACGAGGGTGTACCTTGGCCTTCCTTCGGTAACCTGGGCATCCTCCAGACGATCGCACGATGCTGGTGTTCATATTTAGCTTGGCCCGAAGTAACTTCCATCAGCTGTGGCTCCAACGTGTCGACTGCGCCCAGAAATCTCTCGATACCTTTGATTTTGCCGGTTCTTCTGTGAGCAGACTTCACGGACCCGTACCTGAAGTGCTTCTCCACACGAAACAGATAGATCCAGCACTCCGGAATCGGAAAGCGGACCATCACGTCCTCGCAGGGCACCTGGCCCAGCTTTCTAGACGCGAATCCCGGCACGAGAATGTCTGCTCTCAGCTCTACCTAATGGTGCAAAAAACAGAGTCAATTCGCACGGGTTCGAGCGGTAGACTGATGAGTCGGGGAGATTGCCTCTGGGTAGAATTCAGATTCAGTGAACAAAGTTATTGAAAAGGTTTTAGCAGTAGTAATAAAGAATAGAACACGTGCTAAGAATATGGTTACAACAAAGAGACAGAGTTTCGGGTTAGGTTTGTGTCGACATATTTTACTAAGCCAAAGAGTTGTGTTAACTCGTTTGTTCTAACCTAACAATAAGTTTGTTTCAATAATATACTCTGTAACATTCCGCGGTGAACGTTACTCAGGGGCAATCTTTATAGCTCCGTGCAGTAGCTACCAAACAAGTACGAGAACTGTATTACTATGGAAACGAGTATTGAATTTGGACAACGGGACACGATTCATGCAATTTTGTAACGAGGTTTCCGCAGAGGTTTAGACAACGTTTACGTATTTTATTCCTCGATGGTGAAACGACATTACCTTGTTACCGGTAATGCACATTACGGCTTTAAGCTGAAGGGGAAGCTCCCTATTTTTAGGCGGCCTTACTCGGAATCTCATAAGTTCGATATAGCATGCATCGGGTGGCTTGAACCTTCAAACGGGTTAGTCAGGTATTAACCAAAGTCAGTTAGTATTTTCAGTAAGAATATAGTTGTTAGATGGTTAAAGTTCTTCTTAACGAACGTGTCAACGAGGACATACTTTATGATCCTGGACTTCTCATACTCGTCCTGCTGGACGCACGAGTGGAACTCGATGTTCTCCAACCGAATCCATTCCTCCGTTACGACCGGAATTATGTCGTGTCTGCCCACCACTTCCTTCCCTTGGCGCCACATGTCGTTTATCCCCAGCTCAACGTCGGGCATACCTGAAACGATTTCGCGAATCGAAGCGTTTCAGTGACCTATCGATGCCACTTTTACGATTCTCAGGTTGATTCGTACCCGAAAGGAAACCCAAGAAGAATAGACGAACGCGGGCGATCTGTTTTTCCACATGACCCTCGGCATTTTGTTCGACGTAAAGCTCGTCCACCACCGTGATTTGCACCTCCTCCATCTTGTAAGTGAGCGCTCGATCTCGTTGAGCGTGCAGCCTGAACAGAGCCTCCTCGATGGCACAGGAGAACAGCTTCATGTCTTCGAAGTTCTGGGAGCCGAGTTTGAACAGCTGAGAGATCTGGAATTCGTTCGTTCTCAGGTGACAAACATGCCCATCGAAAAGTTGTGCTGATTCGATTACACTGTACTTCAACTGCCCTTTATTTTACCAGTACTTGTATAGTATTTTGCCTATAACAGTGTGTCTGGGTTAGGTTTTGTACCTGTGGGGCGTGTTCGACCGGCAGACCCAGTTTCTTCAGATCACTGCCGAACTCCTTGACGCCTTGGTAGTCACCCTGGATGGCATACGCGGCGAACTGGCTGAGCTTGTTCGTCAACCTCTCCGCTTTAGTCACTTGACCCGGTCGAATACCAGGTCGTCCCTTGTAGAAGATGTACTGCAGCTTCACCGTAAATATCTTGCCGTACTGGTCGAATTGTTGAGCTCCGATGTCAGATACCGAATAACAGGGCAGGAGAGGCAGCTCCTGCAACGGATCCTTGTCATCCCTGTTGATATACATTACTAGGGCCGGGTTGTCGCCTTGATAGACGAGCTTCACGAAGACCTTCTTCCAGAATCGTTGGCCCGTGATCTTTTTCTTGATCGGCTGACGCAGATGCATCTCCCAGCCATCGCCCGTGTAAGTTACTCTCGGGAAGTCTTCCAACGGTTGACTAACGTCCTCGTCGAATAGGGGAGTGGGTGGAGTTTCCTGAAATTGGATCGTTTTATCACAGACGAGATACACGAGTAAACTTTACATCCAATGTATTTTTCGGTCCATTTTTCTGGGGCTCTAAGGCCCCATTACCATTCTCGTGTTACTCGTAACATTACCAACAGGTTACAGAAATTAACACAAGAGAAAGTGAGGCAAAAAATGAAATTACAGAAACATTTCTGGCCATACATTATATTTTTGGTAATCAATTTTTTTCTCGAAAGTGCGTAGAATTTTGGGAGTATGTGTATTGACTAAAAATGATTGTAATTGACCCCCGCAACCGAAAATAATTTTTTTTAAGAGGATTTGAAATTTTTTAATTTAGGTTTAATTTTTCTGAATATAATAATTAATGAAATATGTATGTTAAACCGAAGGGTATTGATATAATTCGAGTAAAAGTAGCTACTTGAGAATCCGTCCTCGTGAGCTCCGCCGGCTGAGCGGTGTCTTCAGGGGCTACGGCATCTTGTACGAATCCCGACTTATCGAAAGGATTGAATCGCGGCGAAGTGTCGGCGTACGCAGTATTCTGCGGGCTTTTGGGCGGTGGAGCCAATACAGGCACAGGCCCTCCTTCGATCACCCCACTTTGATCGCCCTCTTTCGGCCTTACAAGAGACAATAGCAAACGATCATTAAACGAAGCTATTTTGGACAAAGTGAAACTCGTCGATACTTACTTGATGAATACACTGAAGTCAGGACCGTCGTCAGAGTCCGCGGATTCGGCTCTTTTAACCTTGGCTTCCTGCGGTGGAGCGGTCATGCTCAAGAACGAGTCGAACCCATCGGCTTCCCCGAAACCGGTCACCGTTCTCTCCGACACGGTCGCGCTCGAATCACCCCAAACTAGACGAACGTTACAGGCATAGTTTTGTTAACCCCTTCCCGTTCTTTAACGAGTCTGACTCGTGATGAAGATTTTGGCCCAAACGTAAACATCACGAGTCTGACTCGTGGACTGAAAATCAGGCCAAACGTAAACATCACGACTACTGCTTGGGCTCGGATTTCGTCAAGCTAAATGGCACGGGAAGGGGTGAATAGTTCCTTACAGAGGAAGAACAAGTGCACCATTTATGTACAACGTTTCTCGAATTAATCGAGTTCTATAATTTCGCTTACCGTCGCTGGACGTGTCCATGGCGGTCGGCCCGCCCCCGAAAGCGTCCATGAATGGATCCGCGTTGCCGTCCGGTTCAGCAGCCTTATCGAACTTGGAAGCGAAGATGTCGAAGACGTCGCTGGTGTTCTCGATGGTTTTTGCGGTGACTGCGAAGTTGTCCAGGTGCTCCTCGGGCCTGTACGCCTCGGTGAGGGGAAACTCGGCGCCGGGTATCGGGCTGGAAGCTATTGGGACGGGCATGTCTGCGCTGGGTTCGCCAAAATCGCCCAGCAAATCCGAGGCGAACGGTCCGCTGGGCTGAGAGGGGACGTCTGAGGCGGCGAACAGAGGCTCCGCGGTGGTCGTGGTGGTCGTGATGGTCGTCTCCGCGACGGAAAAGAACGCGGACTCAGAGGAGGTGGCGGTGGAGAATTGCTGATCGGCGGTGCTCGCGGAGAAAAGATCGGCGGCGGTGATCGAAGGCCGACTTTCCCGGACGCTCGGAGCCTCCGTGGCGAAGTCCAATCCGACGTTGTCCAAGGCCTCGGATCCCAGACATCCGGTCGTCGAGGCGACGGAAGGCCTCTTCTCGCTGGTGATGGACGCGGTTTCCGGATAGTCCGATTGGAACCCGTCCTCTGGCTGAGCGGCGGACGTTTCTTGCTCGGCGATGCACGCGAACGGATTATCCTGAGCCGTGGAGTCGGTGACCAAACTTGTGGTGTCGCCTGTGGCCATCGAGGTGCTGAAGATCGTGACGGTGGTGGTGTCCGTGTTGGGCGCGTCGAACAGATCGAGAATATCTTGGTTCTGGGGCGTGTCCACCATTTTGGCATCGTCCGACATCAAGTCTGGCACGTTTGAGTCGACGTCCAAGAGGTCCGCGAAACTGTGCTCCGGCGTAGGGGATGGAGAGTGCATCAGAGTGGGGCTGGGCGTTCTGGTTGCCTACGATAGACGGACAGATTTATTTGTTTCCTTAGACAGTCAGTGTGGTCACACTTTAAATTTTGATACAAATCTGAATATTTCAAATCTTAAAGTTAATTTAGATGAAATTTATGACAGCATATTAAGTCTAAACCCTAATTCTTCTCCTGGTGATGATAATATTCATCCATACTCGGTTAAATCATATTGTTAAGAATTTAGTGGATAATATTATAGACAAAATTTTAATGAGAGATTCTAGATGCCAAAATTTCTTTTCTGTCTTTCTACGATCTTTCTCCGTTTCCTCCAGATACCCGGAAATAAATAAATAAGTCTACCAACCTGTAACCGATCCAACAAATGATTCGAGGTGGCGTCCATGGCGCCGGTGACGGATAAAATCAGATCCTTGGTGTGTTTGGGAGGTGCTGGCGGTTGGGGCCTAGGCGGGGGCGGCCTGGACGGCACGGGCTTCCCGTTTTTCGGTTGCGGGGGTGACGTGACCGGGGTCGCAAGATCCGCAGGCTGACCGAAGATCTCTTGGGAGGCCTGCGACAGGACGTCCGCGTCGAACAAGTTCGCGTTCGGTTCGGCGGTTTCGGTGGTCGCAAACATGTCTGTGCCTTGGCTAGTGAATATGTTGGTCGCTGGTGTATCGGTGGCGGGCGCGTCCTCGCCGAACGAGGCGAAGGGATTCGTCGAGTCGACGGGGATCTGCGACTGGTACGATTGATCCGCGGTGTAATTTAGAAACGGATTCTCCCCAGGGGCCATGGTCTCCACGTCCCCGAAGTCCTGCAGAAACGGGTTCGAGGTGCCTTGGCCCGCGAGCCTGTCGTCCGGCTCGGCCTCGTAGTCGTCCATCAGGAACGGATTTCCCCCTTTCGAATCCATGGTGGCTAAAGCGATTTAATCGACTCGAGCTAATATTTTCGTGTATTTGCGGCTCGGTTCGTTTTTAGCGGTACTCTCCTTCTTTATTTGTCCATCAATTCGGACTCGAGTAGCTTCAATTCGGTCTTCCCCGGCCCTAGCGTAGCGAAACTGGTGTCGAAAGGATCCAGCTCCCCCTCTAAAGCGAAGCTCTCGTTCTGCTGAGGCGTGAGGACCTTCGCCGCGTGGTTCTGGTCGTCGATGGACAGGAAGTCCTGCGATTCCGTCTGCTCTCCCGCCCTCGGATTGAAGTCGTCGATATCCGGTACCGCGGTTGCTATGATCGCCGTCAAGTTGATCGGCGCAGGACGAACGGCTATCTCGCCGGAGATCTGTTCCAGCTCGCTTTCCAGCACTTTCAGCTCCGCCTTGCCCGGAAGGATGTTGCTAGCGATGGACGTATCGAAGGGGTCGTTGTACGAGATCTCACAATCCTCGATGGGTGGTTTCGCCTCGATCTTCGGCGTCAGCGGCTTCGCGTCTACCTCGATCTTCGCGTCCAACAGGCTCTCCTGTCGTTGTAGCGGCTCCTTGGATCGTTGCTGTTCCTCGAACTTCTGCAATACGGTGCTCTGTAATTCGCCGATCTTCAGGTCGCTCGGCCTGACAGAGGCGGCCGTGAAATCGCTTTGCCTTCGGATTGCCTCGCTCTCGCCTCTGGGATCGAAATCGTGGTCGCTGTAACTATGCGGCAACTCGAATTGCTGCTGCTTCAGAAGCTCCGACTCGATCAACTTCAGCTCTGTCTTACCCGGCGCTACCTACGTGACCAAACAGACGACACGATGTGATTGGAGGATTATGTCGGTGCGCTAACTTCAACAAAGGCGACCGACACCTTTGTAATTAGGCCGCGTTCTCGAATGGTCTCGAACCTTCGAGAAGCTGTCGGTGTTTTATGTAAAAGGATACGAGACAAGAGACGCGAATCCAGACTCGATCTATACTAGGGCCAACGCGACGACTCAGCCAACGAATGAAGCCGCTGCATCGAGCATGTGGATATCACACGAACACTTTGTTGTTTTTCACTAACTTGTCTCGTTGACCCGAGTATATATCTTGTTCAACGAGAATCGTAAAGGACCAGATCTGTAAATAGTAGGAAAGAAGCTAATCTGTTTAACAAAGAGTAGGTACTCATTCTTTACCATGATTAAATTAATTTCTAATTATAGTGTGAGGTCCAAGCGCTCGACTGACACTCAATATCCTGGCGTCTAAGGCAAAGTCTGCTAGGATGCTTTAACAACAACGAGTCCACTAGCAGATTCCTTATTTTCCACGACTCTGATTTCACCTACCTTGGCTACGAAGCTCGTGTCGAACGGATCGACGTCTTCTGCTTCCTCTTCCTCGTTGGGCAAAACCTCCTCGATGGACTTTTGGGTGTAATACGGCGTGAGCGGCTTCGAGTGTAACGCTTTCTCCTCTTCGGTGGTGGCTAGGAGATCTGGTCTTTTGGACGGTGTTGGTAATTCGAAGACGACCGCCTTGGCGGGTGCCAATTTGAGAACTTCAGGCCTGGAGGACCTCCGTGCGAAATCGACGTTAACGGCAGTCTCTTCTTTCGTTTGTTTGTCGTTAAAGTCGACGGTGAACGTTGGCTGAGGCGCTACGGTCGGCGGTGGGGGTCTAGACGGGTGATTCGATGGTGTCGCCTTAGCCTCTGTTGCTTCCGGTTGCTCGTCCGTTGGCTCAGACCCTTCCTTCGTTTGTTGTTGATCGTTAAAGTCAACGGTGAATGTCGGTGGCGGCGGTCTACACGGGTGACTCGATGATGTTGGTCCTATTACTTCCGGTTGCTCGTCTTTTCTCGGATCGAAGTCGTCGTCGTCGTCCTCTAGAACGCTCGATGGTTGGTTCTGATCACCTAGCAGTTCCTTCTCGAGGAATTTCAACTCTGTTCTCCCGAGTGGAATCTCCTGAACGGTCGATGTGTCGAACGGATCCACGTAGGTGATGTCCTCTACGGGCGCGATGGGCTGGTCGGCTAATTGGCTCAAGTCGGTGGTCGATCCTCCTAGAAGGTCTCTCTTCGCCTGCAGACCCACGACGGTACCGTTCTCATTCTCTACGGTCAGTAAACCTGTCTCGTAGTCCCTGTTGAGTCCAGCTGGGTCGGTCAACGAGATCGTCACGTCCGAGACAGGATGAGGCGGGAGATTATCGAGCTCCTCCTCGATGAACTTCAACTCTGTCTTGCCGGGAAGGATGTTATCGGCGAAGGTGGTGTCGAAAGGGTCCTCCTCGTTGGCGAATGTGGCTGCGACGAAGCTAGCCTCTGCTATCTCCGACTGGAAGTCTACGGTCTCCGGTTCTTTGCTACCGAACGGATCCTCGGCCTCTTCGAGACGCGGCAGCTCGTCAGGCGCGTCTGTTAGGTCGAACTCTGCGTCGTACAAGTCGGGGATCTCTTCCAAGATGGTCTTCTCCTTCAGAACCTCGAACTCTGAGATATCGAGCGGCTCGTTCGGTGGTTTGCTCTCGGCGACAGTCTCCTGAGTGACCGGTTTGGGCAATACAGTGGGAAGCTTTGTTAAATCTACAGGAATGTCCGGGAGGTCGCTGTCATCGTCCAACAAGGTCTTCTCCGCTTGAACGGGCTCGGCGGTTACGTTCTCCTCTAAGGTAGCACTCTCCTCGAAATCGTCCAACAACAAGTCCTGCTGGAGCCTCGGTTTTCTGCTTTTCGAGATCTTGCACGTACTTACGTAGTCGATTCGTCCGGACAGTACCTCTACCGCGTTTGCTAAACTAACCAGCTTCTTCCCCTTGCTGTCGACTGTCTTGAGAACCTTGTCCGCGCTGGTAGTGTCGAACGGATCGTCCCCAGCCTCCTCCTCGGTTGGGCTATCCGGAATGTAGGCTAGTTGAACGTCGATATTCTGAAGAACGTCAACGTAGGTGGTGTCGAAGATGTCCTCGTCCCCGGAAACCTCCGGTTCATCGTCGTCGTCCGGAACCTCGACGAAACCGTCCTCGCTGACCAACGGTTTCTCCTTGGCTGATTTCCCCTCGAAGTCTGGTGGCTCCCCCTCGATCGGATTCCCCTCCTCGTCGAAACCCACCCACTTCTTGGAGGATGTTTTCTTGTCGGGCTCCTCCTGGGTCTCCTCTTCGTGCTCCTTCTTCTCGTTCAACGGCGGTTTTCGTTGGAAGAACGAGGTCGACTTGATGCGGTCGAGGTCACCCTGGGTCTTCTTGAGGATCGAGTCTACGCCGGCGGTCAATGCCTCGAACTTCTTCCACTCGTCGGAACCGGCGTTGCTGGCCTGCTCGCCGGATGACTCGACGTTCGTCTGGGCCAATGCCCGCGATCGCCTATAACTCTCGAGCTCCTCTGGATCGAACTCTTCTTCCTCTGCCCCCTTCTTGCCCTTCTTCTGCTTTTTCTTCTTCTTCAGGCCTTTGGCTAGCTTGTGCATCCTTTAACAGCTACCGTGGATCGCGCGAGGCCTCTGCAAGTAAACGATTATTATCAATAAATTATTTGACAGCTTAATATTTCAAGTTTAACACTTCTACAACCGTCGATGACACTGTGGCGTTGCAGGAATCTTTCTGTTCGAGTACTACGAATTTCTAAATTAAACGCAAAGAATCACCTACTGGTACTGGACGAATCAATTCCGGTGCGTGGACTTGCACAACCTGTCGAAACTTTCTGTGCACGTGTATTGCTCAGCATCCAATAAGCGATCTCCAAATACAAGCATGGAAGGCAAGACAAAAAAATCCAAATAGGTAGCTCTACAGGATTGGTTTACGCTTTTGACTACGGGACGCTCGTAGCACATACAGTTATCCTCGCCTTCGAGCGATAGTTTTTACCCCGGATACAAGTCACAGAATCATCATCGCCACTATTTACGTTTAAAGTAGTAATTTTAATTTTTAAATTTCGTTAAAATCGTTGTGTCACGCTCGAATCACGGTTTATACGCGCGAATGCTCAGCACCCACGCCGTTACTTTGTCGAATCCTTGAATACTTGTTGCACACTACCGATCTTTATTTAGCCGGTTACTCCTTATAACTGCCCGATGCTAAATTCGTCCGTTTCTTTTTTAACGCGTGCACACTACGCGATACAGCTCTGAACGCATATTCTCTTTAGCACAATTTTATTCAAACGACCAAGAACGAACATATCGATGCATGGCGATGATACCTAATTTTAATTTATATTTCAACTTCAATTTCGATTTTTTATTTTGGGAGTTGAATTTTACAATGAGAAACCATTTAAAATGATACGTTCCAGGAAACATGTAATAGTAAATATAAATACATAAACGTTAAATTCCTTAACCTGTTAGAAACTGATAATTTTTTTAAAACCACCTAACAACGATGTCTCCAGAGAAGAATACCCCCTTAAGTGTCATCGGTACATAAATTTACTTACAATTCCCACAGTTACTGAAACTCAAAATCAAATTCTGATAGAATTAGAATTAAAAGAGCACGACTAAAAATTTGATGCCGTTGTCCCCGGAATCACTGTTTACGTCACTGCCGGGAACGATCGAACTTGCGACAAAAGGCGCTGGAGAAATATCGTTTTTGGCCGAACAAAGGAGTCGTTATCTGGGATTTCTGTATCAAGCTGATACAAATCTTTTCCGTGAATGTTTCTCTGTACGCGTCACAGGATCGTTGCCAGAACAGTCCGATCGATTGCAGTGCCGTAACCCCTGCCCATTTCGCCCATTTCTTTTGCCCTCCCTCTAACCTCAAAGCGTCATAATTATTACTAGTAGACTGCATCGAACGCATACAAATAAATCAAATTACATTCGGTGTGTGCATCGTTCGATACCGTTTAATTTTGCCTTATGACATTTTTCTACATCTCCAACCGTTTTAGAGGTATAGCTTCCATTCGCCCAGTGGCGCCTTGCATTTTACAATCGACAACTTTAATTTCTACGAACTATACAGGGTGTTCGGCCACCCTTGCGGAAAATTTTAATGGGGGATTCTAGAGGCCAAAATAAGACGAAAATCAAGAATACCAATTTGTTGATGGAGGCTTTGTCAAAAAGTTATTAACGTTTAAAATTCCGCACGTACTGAATTTTTTCTCTCGAAAATGCACAGGATTTCGGGGGTATATCTATTCACCAAAAATAATTGTAATTGTCCCCCGCAACCGAAAATAATTTTTCCAGAACGATTTGAAATTTTTTTTTCGTTGAAAAAAGGCACCTAAGTAGATTTTCCATAAGGAATTTTTTTCTCGAAAGTGCGTAGGATTTCGGGGATATGTGTAATGACCAAAAATGATTGTAATTGACCCCCGCAACAGAAAATAATTTTTCCAGAACGATTTGAAATTTTTGAATTTAATTGCTAATAACTTTTTAACGAAGCCTCCATCAACAAATTGGTATTCTTGATTTTCGTCTTATTTTGGCCTTTAAAATCCCTCATTAAAATTTTTCCCAGGAGTGGCCGAACATCCTGTATAATATTTTGCGTGACACCATGGAAAGGAATACGATGAAATTATTCAACCTAGTATCCCCTTTCGTCGAACTCTATGCATTTGCAAGACGTGGTGTTTCCTACAGACGATAAGAAGCTTAAAATCTTACGCGATACACGTACTTAGCATATTACACGAATTAATCCGTTTCAGATGGGGAAATTTAATTAACACTTGGATCGAAAGCTATATCCCAACAACGCAGCGACAGTCGATACCCTCTGTTTTAGTTTGCGAGACTTCTCACCGGCTAAGACTCCAATTCAATTCAAATGAAATTCCTTGAAAATTATAGGAATACCAAGTTAGCCTGTGTAGAAATTATTTTCTCTGACATTTAATCGCAAACGACGGAAGTAGATTCGCTTGTTGTCTAAATGATTTCTTAATTAGTGATGACATTTGCATCAATCTCAGTGATTGTAATTCTATTGTGTAATTGTGAAGAAATCGTGCAACTCTGATTAAATCGTACTAATGGAAACCGTGTAACTTTCAAATAACATAAAGGTAGATTCGGATTGTAATGCATCACCCCCGTGGGTGGCGCCACCTGCTTTGAAAAAGAGTTTTAAACTACGTCAGAAACTTAGGAACTACTGTTTCTCGCACGAAAACACTCTACAAATCGACCAGTGAAAGATTCTGAAAAACGACCAATACAAGGGTGGTCGACCAGCAACGAAACAAAATTTTGTCGATAATTGGGGGAGGGAGCACGTGCTCCAGATTATTGCACGGCGGTCGTGTCGGGGGTAGCTGGCGTGCTAACAAACTCCCACCTCCACTCCGCCATCAAGCGATAGCAGCGCACCTGCATGCATGCCAGGAAGTTAGAATCGATAACAGGAGATGAATCGACCGAGTTCTCGACAATCTCACCTAGAGCAAAATGTTCTCGTTTCCGACTTGCTCGAAACACGATCGACAACCGATTCTCTAACCCGAACTTACGAAATAGGAACGAAAGTCGAGAATACTAGCTTTGAAGAAACTTATGCATATATTTCTTTTCTTTCTTGTTACTGGAATTATTGTTTCTTTTTTCTTTTCTTTGTATACTTTTTTATTACTATGTTAATAGTGCCCAACACTAAGATTTTCCATATAAAATAGTTTGTAAGATAACTATACAAAATTATAAGTCTTCACATTTTCAAGTTTTGAGGTTAAAAGGACAATGTTAAGTCATAGAGGGGTTTACTGACCCAAGAGCGTACAGCCTATGCTATACACCGTTGGAAAGGTCTCGCCAAGGCGAATCGACTGATACCGTTTTTAACTTCGATATCAGATGGGATCATGTCGAAAAATGGCCTCAAAGTTCGAGATTTTGCGGTTTTGAACAAAAGAATCCGGTCGTAAAAGCCCATCCGGCCCGAGGGACCTCGGATAGGCACCTGAGGGAAAACCGAGCGGTGTAAGCGATACTCTAGCAGATTGGGACGGCAAATGTGCCCCACCACCTTCATTTCAGTGCCGTGTTGGGCCTGCGTTTGCCGCATGGGCCCCGTTCGAAATGCCCAGGGCGAAATCGCCAATGGATCAGTTGTTTTTCATGAACATAATATATTCATGATAGACGATTCGCAGGTATGAGTTGGGAATGTGCAGGTTAGTATTCAGACTAATGCGTCACTTACAATAGTGAATGGAGTGACATTTTATTGATTAAACGAAACATAATGATGTGAATACTGAATACTAACCTGCACATTCCCAACTCATACCTGCGAATCGTCTATCATGAATATATTATGTTCATGAAAAACAACTGATCCATTGGCGATTTCGCCCTGGGCATTTCGAACGGGGCCCATGCGGCAAACGCAGGACTAACACGGCACTGAAATGAAGGTGGTGGGGCACATTTGCCGTCCCAATCTGCTAGAGTATCGCTTACACCGCTCGGTTTTCCCTCAGGTGCCTACTCGAGGTCCCTCGGGCCGGATGGGCTTTTACGACCGGATTCTTTTGTTCAAAACCGCAAAATCTCGAATTTTGAGGCCATTTTTCGACATGATCCCATCTGATATCGAAGTTAAAAACGGTATCAGTCGATTCGCCTTGGCGAGACCTTTCCAACGGTGTATAGCATAGGCTCTACGCTCTTGGGTCAGTAAACCCCTCTATGACTTAACATTGTCCTTTATTATTGTATCATCTTATTCTTTTTTTCTGTTATCTGAAAAGTGTTAATTTTCAAGATGATGTACATAGAAACGTGAAACCTATCTCTGACGTGGATATAACAGCTATTATTGCTACACTATTGCTATACGGCTTTTTCGAGTACGCTGACCAACTGAACCTAAATGGAAGTTTCAACTTTCACCAGAGGGCGGTTAGAGCCTCGTTACACGTAATACTTAGCAAATAATATTGGTTCAAAGTCAGAGTAGGGGTAAATTGACTTCACAGCTACAACCGAGGGTTAAAGATACAGTGTTATTATGATATCAATGAACTTCCAATTGGCAATGACTCGGACAATTTCTTTTTAAGTCTATGCACAACAGATTTTATTGCAAATTGCTAGCTTATCTATTCAATCGAATGAAATGTAATCCAATTAACGATTAACAAATTACGAGTACAAAATGTAATTGTACGCCGATAGTTTATCATTTGTTCATACATTTTTCACACAAATTTTGTAATAGCAGTTGTAGTTGTAGGATAAACGTTTAAAAAATGTAATCTATAATTGTAATTATAAATAATAGCTTTTGTAATTAATTGAGTGTAATTGATTGAATGCACAACCCTGGTATAAAGTATATGAAAGAATAGGTTATAGATGGATGTAGTGTATAGACGTCACGATTACAGGTCGAAGCAAATACTTGTAAACACGACCTGAGTCTTTTATCCTTGAACTGAAATGAGGCTTTCATACGTGAAGTGTTAGACCAACCAACACGAAGCTTCTTGCGAGGCCAGTATTTTATTTTCGGGCGATTGAAAACCTCATAATCAAAGATTTATTACGGTAAATAATAATGTTGGAAGTGATTTTAATCGTTCTGTATAAATCAACTGATTAGGTGCGAAATAAAGATTCGTTATTGGACTTCCATCAGTAAAAAACTAGTTACAATATATATCAGTTATTATTAACGGAAGAAACATGTTTGATTAAATACAAATAGACATATTTGAGGTTATGTTCGGTAGAAACGATCGGTGACGGAATAACTCGTCGGGATATCGACGTCGAGGCACGATAACGTATTCTTATATCTGGCATCCAGATAATTAAAGGCCCATGTCGCGTCACTGGATTCAATAGAAATTATCGATCACTTCGGTTGGTGCCCCCACGGAAAGTAAAATAGAGACCGTCAGGATCTGGTAATTAACTCGTAACAAGTGTCGAAGTGTAGCCAATTTGTCATTGCCAAAGAAACCATCTGTATGTATATGTAAATGCATTGCCTAACAATTTGTTTGTTGCTTGTTTAACATTTACACTGTCAAACAAATGCTTATACAGCGTGTTAAGTACCTTGAAAACAATATTTTTTTGAGAATAATATTAAATACAAAACTTTTTCAATTCTTTTTACAATCTAATCAGGACCGCCAGGTTTCATGTAAAGAGGTTTGAAAAGCTTGTCACCGGACATCTTACAGCAAACACAATTGAAAACCGTTCAGTGGAATCCGTTCTAGTTGCGTTACGACAAGAATTCCCAGGTCGTCTTCTGTTGAAAATCAACCGGATGTCAAGAACTACTGCTAAACCTCCATTCTGAATTATTCCCTTTATCATAACCTAACTTTCTTTAGACATAATAACGATCAGAACTTGAGAATCACTTGCTGATTTATATCAAAATTTAATTCTCTAATAAATTTTATTATGCACTAACCTATCGTTAATATAATATTTATTTATAAGAATATATCTTACTTTAAGGGATTCTAGCATTTTCTTATAGAAATGTATATTTGTTATCATTATAATAAGATATTTTGTTACGTATTAATTAATATCTCTTTAGGAATTTTTTAACGAGCAAACGTTTCACTTAGTTTATATTTTTTTACCGTATTTTGTCAACTAACCAAACGAGAAAAAGGATCAGACGCCAACAATAGAACAAGGGTTGGATCAATAATAACCGTTAACTATTCTATATTATGCTTTAGAGAACAGATTTTTTAATTTAATTAATTATAAGGTTGTTCTGTAGTTTAGTGATTTTTTTCAGTGTTGATTATTCGACTCCAGTCTTGTTGTTTCATAAAGAAAGTAATTAATTTCTCAAGCTCTTCAGATTTATTTCTTGTTTTAGTGAAAATATTGAAAAGTATTATAAAGAAACTAGTGTTGAATAGTTAAAATTGGGAAAAGTCACTAAACTGCAGAGTTACCAATTATATTACAAGTTCTTTGTGACTATATAGGGTAACTGCTCGAGTGATTGGATGTGCCCCAGTAATCAGACACTTGGCAATAGTTTTCCTTAACTCTGCAATAGTACTTCTATACACCGTGACCCATTTTATTTTATAAATGCAATTATTTCACGAACCGTTATACGGAAAAAAGTGGAATGTGCAATATTTCAAAGGGATAAGTAACTAAATATAAATAGTTTCTGTTTAAATGAACGTGTAAAGGACATCTGAAGGTAAAATTCTTTCTTTTTTTTTTAACAAAATATTAATTTTCGTAATAATAATAAAGAAACAGGGTGCATAATATAATATTATTTGTTAATAAACTGGTTATTAACGACAAATATTAGAATTCGTTCTAAGAATCTCAAAGAATTTTAAGAATCATCGTAAAAAATGTTATAATAAATATTTAAATGATTAAGACAAGTATGGCGTAATTTTCAATTGAATCAGACAAAACACGGCCATCGAAACGAACTCGACTAACCTCGGGTTTATTGATTCGACTGACACAGACCCTGAATTGTTTTAGAATTCGGACATTTTTACGATCGAACTCGTGCTGAGACACTTTTCGTTCGAAGTAATCGGTTTCTTTCTGCGTAAAGTTCGTTTCCCGAGGTCGGAATCGATGGGACACGGTCTGAAGTTACGCATAGATATTCGAACCAGTCCGATCGTGGCTTCGCGAACGTAGCTGACGTAGCAGTGATCGTTGCTAAGACGATAATGAAGCTGTTCGTTGAAAACTCGCTTGGTCGATATTAGGATTGTGTGCCACGCTATAAGATTAAAATATCTCCTAAACTAGTGACTTTTCGACACAAGTGGCTTAGTACTTTTTTGTAGGAAATAACGAGCTGCATCGACCGGCGCATTAAAAAATGCATGTTTCCATTTTAAAAACCAAACTTTACTTTCGTACGACCTTTACACTTTCGTCTAAATTTTTCCTTTTTTTTTTATCAACAGTGGGGAGATTCGAGTGGTACGAAAATAACACCGATAAAGTTCTGCGACAACGTTTATAATAGCTTTTTCGATCGTGTCGTTTAGGTCGTGGAACGGCCTTACGGAACAGCCTCCACGCGTCTTATCTACAGAATTATATTTATCCCAAACTCAGGGCTGCTACGTGCCCTATTTTCGTTAGGACAGTCCTAAAATCACACGTGTCTGTCATACGTCCTACTTTTTTTATAAAAATTTTTAATTATGTCTCGAAAGCAACATCTCAGATTGCAAAATGACAGTTTTTGATTTTTTTTCGAATCGACAGTAATTTGATAAGTACCGGCATTGTTTCCAAAACCTAACCTGAAAAAATTTTTTCAGTCTGCAATATAACTGATTAACAAAATAATATTTCGTTGGAAAAATTATAATACATGAAAATACTTAATTTTTCCCGTGCCTCGGATCGGGAACATGCATACGACATGCCTTAAACTATACTATATAACAAGAAAAATGAGACCACGGGCAGGTCTGTACGATCAATAGGACCGGAAATCTGAAATCGTGAAGTAGGCTAAGCAATTGTTGTTTCCATAGATAAATTAATCTTAAATATTTCAATTGTTTTCTATTACAGAAAAAGTATCAATTGATGATCAATTATAAATTGATAATCGTCAATTGCAAGTACGTTTTGCCCTACACTGTAGAAGCAATCCTGGGGTCACAATCCACAGGAAACTGAATGAAGAAAAATCGATCGTTCGGGGAAGGGGTCAGACTACTCTCTGTACGAAAATTCGTTCGCGAATTTCGTGAGTAGCTTTCTACCAGAAATATCGACACTCGTCTAACCGCGTCGTTCATCCGATCGATTCGAAAACAGGCGAAAAGCAGTGTCCGCGTGTACGGTCCGCCCACTATCCTCCAACGAGGAAACTCTAGAAACGTCGTAGCACAGATCGGGGAAACCCTAAAAAGAAGGTTAAGCGAGATCGTTTTGGTTCCGAAATACAATCTTATGCCCGAGGTCCACTTAAAAATTTCACTCTCTAGAATTGGTACGGCCAGTTTGTTTTTACTCATTGTTCGAAATCTTTAAGCAGATTTAAATAAAGGCACACTTTCGTTTAAATTTAACGTTGAAAATTCTCGAATTAAGACTAAGGTTCTGTTGAGAGGCAAAGCAACTTCCAATATCGAATCTGGTGCGAAAGAAATTTTATTCTCGACGTCACATTCCAAACGAAAAATTCTCAAGTGGACATCGGGCATAAGGCTCTGGTAGACACAGTATTGGAACTAAGGTTCCTTCTCAGGGGCATTGAACCGACATTGCGAGCGACACCCAGCACGGTGATTTTTCAAACGTGTCAAAGTCTCCTATTTTAGTTAGTAACTTTAAACAGTAAAACTCTAAAGCGAACGTTGGACAGAAGAGTTTCCGACAGAGCAACTATGGTAAAGATTCCCTTATACGATTAAGCTACCAACGTCACGGGTGACGGAGCAACTTACAGCATGGAGATTCATCCGCAAGCTCCATGTTAAGGATCTCTTAAAGCTAAAAATCTAAAGCGAACGCTAAACATAAACCTTTCTAACGGGCATAGAATCAAGATTAAGGGATGATTCGCGCGACCAGGCGGCCGACATTACGAGTGACAACCTCCATGTTAAAGATCTCTTTCACCCTGTACCGATTGCCAAGACTGTGACTGTCGTTCGAGCACCAAGCAGTGCAAATTCTTAGCTACTGTTTAGGAGATAAAAACACTTTGATCACCAGGCATTTGTAATGGAAAAGCAGGGTAGCACGGCGATCGTCGCGACGTCCGCGTACCGCGGATCAATCGACGACGGTAAGCGTGGGCGTCGGGTGTCGCTTTAAAGCGGATCTCTATCTCTCCTAGCGGTGCCACGAAACCTCGTTCGCTCGTTCCAGCGACCTACTGTACTTACGATTCCAGCCTCGTCAGCCACATTGGTTCGACGCACATTTTTTTCGAGTCATCCCCGTGGCTCGAGACCCACGTTCTTCATCCGCGGACGTTTCGCGCACTTCGTCCCGAACGAACCAGCACACTAACCGAGAAGAACAAGCGGAAGAATGGGCAGACGGGGGAGGCTTTCTGGGAGAGAGGGAGGCGATCGTACCGTGGAAGAGGAAGCGATGGTTGGACGGTGGACACGGCGAACAGAGGGTCGAAAAGCTCGCGGGAACGGGACGGATCGAGGCCGAAATGTTGTAAGAGGTATTTTCGTGTTCTCGTTTCAAGGAAAATCGGATAGAAACCGGGGCGTGGAGAGCCGCGAAGGCCCTGCCGAAAGCGAAGCCGACTCACCTCGTACTCTCTCCTGCGGCTCGAGCTATTTCCAGCATCGATCCGTCGGTTCCGCCGGAGAAGAAACATGCGCATACAACGGGCGGACGCCCACCGACGTCCCCGACGCCCCTGCGTTCTCGCGATCCCCACCCTCCACCCCTCTCTCCTCGCCTAACCGAGTCACCCTTTGGCTAGCGATGGCCTGAAAACGCGAAAGATGGAACGGACCGACCGATCGATCTCCGAAATTCGTCGATTCTCCAATTTCGATACTCTTCCAACTTCCCCTAAACGAACCATTCTACTCCAGAACACAATACATATATTGACGGTTCTTTGGAACTTTTGTTCATTATTTCAAATATTGGAGAAACGGTACCAACGCATTCCTCAGATTCTTCCGGTTAAAACGAGTCCATACACGACATAAATCGGACTATTTTTATGTAACTCACCCCTAAAAGGTGTAATTTACAAAAAGAACGCTTTAATGTTTTCTAAAATATTTTTCAATTATTCTAGTTCCGAATAACATTCTTTCTGGTTTTTCTATTTATCACGAGTATTTTAGAAAACTTTAAATGCGTTCTTTTTTAAAATTGTACCTTTTAGGAGTGGATTACTTAAAAATAGTCTGATTTATGTCGTGTTTGGACTCACTTTCATCGGAAGAATCTGAAGAATGCGTTGATACCGTTTCTAGAAATATGACGTGAAAACAATTTTGAAATTTTTCTTTTCATAAAGGAGTATGTACATCACAAAATAGTATGTTAGAGAAATCTCTAAGCGATTCGCGTTTCACAAAAGTTCTGGGGTAAGTGCAGTGGGGTTCATCACAGTTCTCTTACCAAAAGGCAAAGCCTTCCCCACTACGTGACCAGATCCTTTTAAGAAACCCTTATCGTTTTCCACGTGTCGTGCAGCACCATGACTTTGGGCCATCGGCCACGCACACGGTATAGTTCGGGCCACAATATAGCGAGGTCGTAGACTCGAGTAGGTGTCAAAGTTTACACGTTTCAGCTCCCGAAACAAGTAAATTGACAGAAATACGAGCAGCTAAGGACCTTCGACCATAGTCAGGGTAGTACGAAGAAATGTTCTATCTAGTGTCGCCATTTTTAGAGGTATCGTAACAGGTAAAGGTCTTACTCAAGTCTTTGATATCTTAATTTACCTGCTTATAATATATGCATGTAGAAAATTAAAAAAGGTAGTGCAGTTACGGACGCAGAAAGACATTCAGAAAGACACCCTCAAGCAAGGTGTCATGTACCAACCCTCAAGAGTTTAGTTTATGACCTCGCTATATTGTGACCCGGACTATACCTTTGATGATCGGCGATCGGGCTCTCTATCGCCGACCCATAAACAAAACATCCGCGACTCTAGAATTCGTCGCACCTCGAGTATCACCTACGTCGAGCCCAAGTCTGATGACAGACTTATGGTTCCGATATCGACACCTACGATACTCTTGAGAATCAGGTCAAAGCCCCAAATGCATTATTTACCCTGACACGCATCACCCCTTGAAAAAGGAATTGACGCTAGCAAGTAAGTATTGTTTGTGCGGAGGACAAAACCAGTGGCGTGCTTTATAATTAATATTTACACGCAAATTAAGTTGCCAATACTTTCCGTACGAACATAAAGAGCAATTAAACAAAATTTCATCTCGATCGAATAATCGTAGCAGGTCTTATAGCGAAATCACAAACATACGGACTTTAAATTTTGAAGTATACACTATTGGGCAGAAAAATGATTTTTATCATTTAGTTTCTCTAAATTAATATGATACACGAAGATTATAATAAGTCTGAAAGTGAAATTGTCTTATTGCAAATAGCATAAATATTAAGGTAATAGGGGTGCTAAAGGAAAGCACAAATGCAAATTGATCGAGTTTAGTGCTTTCTATGTAGTAGCATTTAGGAATAATTGTATATACATGACTGGTACGGAGGAAGCAACATGGGCAATGTATTTACATAAATAGTTGTCCAATAAACAGCCACGACATGAGAATTGTCCTCCAGGAGCAGCATCTAGCTGATGTGTAGCCCAGAAAGGCTGAAGCAAATGGCACAGTAACAAAGTATTGGCATGAACCAGCTTTAAATCAGTGCTTCTCAACCTTTTCAACGATCGACACAGAACATATTCGTTCCAATCAATTCGGATAAAATTTTATTTGCATATCTATGTTCCAACTGAAAATATAAACTACTTAATTATGCAGGAATATTAATTATAAAGCACGCCACGAGGCTTTAAATGAAGCCTCTAATATAAAATATCTAATATAAAATTTAAAATTAAAAAAATTTTCATGACAGTTGTTTTAAAAAAGTTTAACTCGAATTCAATATGCAACCCACTTTTAGTTTATAATCCATTGGTTGAGGAACACTGCTTTAGATCTTCGCATCCCAGAAGCTATTCATCCGGTGCATGAATATTTAAGTATCTTCTCAAGTACGTATTCCTTAGGCGGATATCGTCAACATAATAACTGCAGTTGCAACGTGCTTGTTTTAAGTATAGCTCTTGAGATTTTATTCGTTGCGAAAAGAAATTAATAAAATCGGCGGTTTTTAAGTTTTTTAAAAGATGCCTCTCTTAAAAAGAAAAAAGGAAGTTTAACTGGTAAACCCAGAGATGGTTTTGTAGTTCTCAAAATTCTCAAAGTGTATCAAGAAAGCCGTAAACACTAGTGATACTTTGAAACAGTTAGAAACAATATTTAGATTGTTCTAAAGTGTGAATAATATAAAAAGAAAAGATCATAACATATTTTGTGAATTACGGTTGAACTGATTTGGAGCGTTTCAAACCCATCGCTAGCTACCCTTTTCTTCTTCGCGTCGTCGCGTTGCCCTTTCGCAGATGACACTACGACTATGTCGACGCGATTCTTCTGCGGCCATCTTTTCGGGTAGAAAAGAATACCTTTGTCTAATAAACGGAGGAAAATATCGGCATTTTTTGATCGACCTACGATGACCTGAACAAATTGGTTTCTAGATTCTCGCGTTCAAGAGAAAGAGTGACGTAACTGCGTGTCAAAATTGGATACATAATTAGGAATTTCAGCGAAGCGTGACTCTTCCAAGGAAATTTAATTTAGAAATGTTGTATCGCAATAGAGAGAGAGAGGGAGAGAGAGAGAGAGAGCTACGATTTTTTTAAATAGGACTACAACGTTCATTGTCAATATATGGTGTCGAATAAGTTATGATACAGCAGTCAAGGCAGTGATTGTTAATGTTGTAAACTGTGAAAAATGTAGAATTTGTACAACCGATGGCGTAGTTTCCGAGAAAGATGACTTTGAACGTTAAACTGTAACACTGTGAATTTAATTAAACATAATTCTGCTGAACGCTAATCCTCAACAGGTGACCTCAATGGACTCTTATTCCATAAGATAATAATACGTTAATTCGGTAATATGATACTCGTACGAATCATTTCCTAAGAACAGCTAGAAATATCATCAATGTTGCGAATAAAGTAGTGTTTTTCGTAATAAATTACCGCGAATTAATTTGTTTAAAAATCTTAATCCGGCTTTAGACTTGTGTGTTTGTATATGGTAACTGTGTCACGTATATTTATGTAATGTCCGTTATGTGATACTTGAGCAGTCTGTTCTATGTAATATTAATTTATCTAATGTTTTTCACAAACTTTATGTGTCATATTTATGTTAAACCTTTTTTATTTTAATCGAAGGTTACAAAAACACCTTCTACAATAATGAATTTGTACAAAATTGTGAAACAAAGAACCGATATTTCTTGTTCTAACCAAACAAAAACTTGCTTCTTCTCCATGAATAAGTTTGACTTTCTTCATAACCTCAAAGGAAATTTATTCGCATAGGTTTTACTTAAATAAAACATTATGCATTATTCATGAATATCTAGTTTATTGGAAAACGTCAGAAAAATGTATTCAAATAACGCCCGGCTCTGCGTCACTTTATTCACGATCTTAAATCAAATTCACTGGATTAAGTTTTCACTTGAATACAATATTCACTATCGACGACTACCGTTCACTTTCTTTGCAAAAGTCTTTGCTCAAATGTTTATTGTAACAATGCCCAACTCGGTTTCCTAACCTTTATTCCCTTCGCGTCTGTTCCGAATCGTTAAATCAGAATCAAAGATCGATAACTGAAATGACATAACCTCTTCTCGCTTACCTCGTTCTGTTGAACTTCTATCGAGTTTCGAACGTCCCTCAATCGCCTGAAAAATAATCAAATGAAAAGAACAGTTCGCGGTTGATCAAAGAAAACACGTAACAAGTTCAAACCATCGATCATTCTTCTCGTATATTGTCGACAAGAGGCAACATGGAGAGGCGACCGACTACATCGACGGGATCGTCGACGAATATCGATCGGGCTGTGTGAAGTTGACAAGCGACCTTAAAAATATTACAGTAACTTTTATTTAACGTAATATATATATATGTATATATATATATATAACAGAATATGGAGGAAACTGGAGGGAGTGAAACGGCGACACTCGTGCGAGCTAGGGATATATCTCGGTCATGGGATTGAATTTTCGTGTTCATATACATATGTATACATGATCCTGTATATATATTCATCTATACGACGCCTAAACTTCGTTTTTTTTTTCTTCTATTTACACAACACCGCTTGATAAACAACAACCTAATAACGATCGAATTCAATCCCAAGACCTCCACTCCAAACGAAATGCATCTTCCGGATCTTCCTTCTTTGTATCGCGCGGAATAGCTGCTTCGCGAAACACGCGCCCGCCTTTACGCATAGGACGCGTGTTGTTTTCCTCGCGCGATCAAGGTGACATCTTTATCGCGAGGTTGTTAGCTATCTTTTTCTTCGAGCATCCGTTCTACTTCTTCCGCTTGCGACCTATTTTAATGGTACAATGCGTAAATCGTATGTATGCGTTGTATGAGTAGTTAACGTGTCTCGGAAGAATACTTGATTTTTTTTTTATTTTTAGAA